CTACCCTCACCCCCTGGCCACCTCACCCCCTGTGTCACCCTCACCCCCTGTGTCACCCTCACCCCTTGGCTACCCTCACCCCCTGTGCCACTCTCATCCCCTGCATTGTTACCAGCCCGTCCTGTGGATTCCCCCCCCCCTCCTGCTCCTACACTTGGGCGCTGGCCCCTGCCTCCCCGGCCCCTGGTACAGAACCAAGGAGGCGGAGGGCAAAGGGCTGGCAGGCTGTTGGGCTGGGAAACAGAGACTTTCAACTAGAGCTGAGCTTTGGCCACAAGCATCTTAATTTTTCTCTGAGTCTGTGACCTTTCAGGTGACCTTTCACAGACTTGAAGGAAATGTTTGGAAGCTCTATGTGGACTCTCACCTGAGGTCACGGTTGGTGTAGTGGGGCCCCAAATGGAAGGTTTGGGACAAAGGATCCTGGTCTATACCCCCCTCACCCAGAGCCTGTTGGGACCGTAATCATGGGTCACAATGAAGGACATCGGCAATGACCCCAAAGAAAATGTTCTGGTCTGTTTGAATCATTTGGCCAGATTGGCTTTCTTTCCTTGTTGTTGTTTTGGTGGATGGGTTTTTGTTTGTTTTGTTTTACCTTTAGTAAGTAATTTGTTTGTGCAGAACCTCCCCAAATTACATAGGTGGTTCAGCAGAGTATTTACATCTTCCTTCACTATCGTCATTTCGCTTTAATCCAGATTTTCTAAAAGTCTGATATGAGAGGGAGCCTCCACTGTGTTCTGTGACTTGTCCCAGGAAGTGGTAGTGTGTGCACACACACACACACACACACACACACACACACCACTGCCACACACCACTGCCACACATGCACACACACACACCACTGCTACACATACACACACACACACACACACACACACACATACCACTGCCACACACACAAAAGGCATTTTGGTAAATGTTGGCTGTTACCAGAATTATCCCGGGTAGTAGCTGCCTGCTTGGTAGTCTCTAAACCTGTTAAACAGGTAGAGTTTGCACTGAACCTTAGGTCTGGTAGTTTAGGGAGAAGAGAGAAAGAGAGAGAGAGAGAGAGAGAGAGAGAGAGAGAGAGAGAGAGAGGAGGGGGGTGCTTTACAAAGGATCTGCCACAGAACAACAGTCCTCTGAACAGCGGGGCATCCTGCACCATCGACAGTGCCCAGTTCTGAAAACACAAATCCCTGGGCTCCGTCCACACGGACCTCTTGGCTCCCCCAAATGCCCTCCTGCTCAGGGCCTTTGCACATGCTGCTCCCTCAGCTGGGCGCCACCCCCAACCCCCCTCCCCAGCCTCCAGCCCTTCCTAAAGTGGCTTCCTTTTCAGCCTCAGGTCTTGGCAAATGTCAGAGGTCTTCCCCGACCATCAGATCCACTTGTGTCCTCACCTGGTCCTCCCCGCACCACGGAGCTCTCTTCACTCTTTCACTGCGCGCCCTCAGGTTAACAGCGATCATTATTTCATCGTCCAC